GTGGGACGCGATGTCGACCATCTTGGCCGCCAGGTCGTCCTTGGGCCCGTTGACGCCCGTCGCCGCGTCCGCGTTGAACGCGATCGCGTTGTCGAAGACGAGGACGAGATCGTCGACGACGGCCTGGAACGTCGCGTAGCGCCTGGGCAGCAAAAGAGTGATTCAACGTCGCTTCAATGTGAGTGTTCCGCGCGCGCGCGTTACGGAAAAAACATCCACGCTTCGAGACCGTTCCGAGAGATGATCGCTCGTCCAAAAATCAGCCGAAACGAGTGGAAAACGGCCGAGATCGGAGCCTTTGAAGTTGGGAATTTCGCTCTCTTTTGCTGCCCTGCTCCGCGCCCGCCGTTCAGCTGGCGGTGCACCTGGCCCAGGTCCATGGGCCGGGCGATCTTGGCCAGGTACTCGTGGCGGATCAGCGGGAAGGCCTCGACGGCGGGCCGGTGCCAGCCCACGACCTTGCCGTAGTAGCCGTCCGGCTTCACCCACTCGTGCTTCCGGACCCGGTCGAAGAGGCGGTCGGCCTGGGCCACCCAGGGCTCCCGCGCCGCCGCGGGGCTCCGCGCGACGTCGCCGGGCGTGCGCTTCTTCTTCGCGGGCGGCGGGCTCGGCGACCGCCGCGCGGGCAACGCCGCGACGGCGGCCGCGACGTGCGCCGCCGACTGCTGCAGCGCGCTCGGCGGCGCGGGCGGCCGCGCGAGCTTCTTGATCTTCAGCTTGGGCACGGACTTGGGCGCCTCGACCGGCGCCTCGGCGAGGTAGGTGCGCAGCAAAGGTGCCAGTAAATCGGCCCCCTCGACGATCGCGCCCGCGATGGGCTTTTGCGAGCACCACGCCTCCGGCGCGCCCCGGTGCAGGAACTCGACGCGCGCCTTCCAGGCCCGCGCGTTCGCGAAGCACTTGGCCACGTCGTCGCCGAACGCCTGCAAATTTCGGTAGCCGCCGCCCCGCGCCTTGGCCTCGATGCGGTTGAAGTCGCGCGCGTTGTGCGCGCCGCCGATGGCCGTCGCGTACTCGCCCTGCTCCGGCGGCAGCATGTTCTCGTGGAGGAAGCCCAGGGCCGCCTCCTGGCCGTCGGGGTGCTTGACGGCGCGCAGCGCGTCCAAAATCTTGGCGGCCTGCTGGCCCACGGACCCCTTGAGGGCGAGCGCGGGCGGCCGCTCCGCCGGCGGCCTTTCCGACGAGCCCGCGCGCGCCTTCGGCGGCGGCTTCGCCGCGGGCGGTTTTGCGGACGGCGACGGCCGCCGGTCGTCGCGCTTCGCCGGCGCCTTGGCCAGGTCGGGCAGCTTCGCCTTCCACCGCGCGGAAAACAGCTTCGCCAACTCGCAGTACGCGTCCGCGTCCGCGTCACCATGTAAAACCCGCCCGCTGCCCCGGGGCCCGTAGTAGGCCCGGCAGTTGGCGAAGATGAGCTCGACGTCGCGCGCGACGTCGTCGGGCCGCTTGTAGTCGCCCTCGAGCAATCTCCGAAAGACCTCGTTGACGCACATGGGCTCGGGCACGGCCCGGAGGTAGTCGTCGAGCGTGCGCTTCTGCCCCTGCTCCCGCGCGTCGTAGTAGGCCGTGATGGGGCTGATGAACGCGTAGCAGCGCTGCACGCCGCCGTCGTAGACGTTGAGCACCGCGTCCTCGACGGCCGACAGGATCTTCTCGTACCGCGGCAGCAGCCGCGGCACGGCCTTGTCGAGCTCGACGTCCGTCGCGCCCGCGGCGCGGAGCGCCGGCCGCAGCTTGTGCTCCACCTCCTTCTCCACGGCCGCGAGCCAGGCCCGGCCCGCGTTCCGGAGCTCCGGGAAGCGCACGTCGACGTTGTAGCGCAGGCAGTTCGCGGCGATGCGCCGCGCGTCGCGGACCCAGGCGCCGACGTCGCGCCGGTAGACGCCGGACCGGTGGCGCACCTCGAGCTTGTTCAGGTCCATGGGCTGGCCCGGGCCCTTGGCGTCCGCGAGGCGCGGCACGTAGTCCGCGTACTGTTTCACGTCGACGGGCGCCTTGAAGGGCGCCGCGGCCTTGTGGCGTTTTAAAGATTGGAGCACGCGCACGACGGCGCTGTCGACGGCGTCGGTCATGGGCAGCTTCTCCCGCGGCGGGCCCGCCGCCGCCGCCGCCGGCTGCCGCGCGGCGGACGCGGCGCCGTCGTCGCCCCACGCGCTCCGCGCCGCCGGCTGGAGGAAGGGCCGCAGGGGGCCCTGGCACTCCTTGTCGAACTTGCGCAGGATGGTCCGCGCGCCCTTGGCGACGTCCGGGAACCGCGCCTTGCAGTAGAGCGCGCTGTTCTCGTAGACCAAACGCACGTCCGCCGCGAACGCGGCCATCGTCGCGTACGACTCGACGCGCGCCCGGACCGTGCCCAGGTCCATGGGCCGCTTGACCACGTTGAGGTAGTCGCTGTACAGCGCCGTGTTCACGGGCGCGCCCCAGAGGTTGCTCGGGTCCTGCGCAAAGAGGCGGTCCAGCACCTGCCGGGCGGCGTGGAGCGCCTCGCCCTTCATTGCGTATAAGTCGGCGCGGCGGCGATGCCTTGATATCGCGGCGCCGGCCTTTATGGAGCTGGTGGTCGCGACAACGCGGCGGTCGGGGGCGCCGGTGCGGCGGCGCGCGCGTCGGCGTCGGTGATGGCGGCACTCGCGGCACTCGGCGGTGCGAGGTCTTGTCGATCGAGGCGCCGGCGCGCCGGTCGGGGTGGCGCGTTCCAGGAGCGCGCGCGACCAGCTCGTACGCCGGCTGCTCGGGCCTGCGCTACTCGTCCTCCGTCGTCGCGATCCGCGCTTTGACTCGGAGGGGTGTCCATCCTCTTATTCTTGGTGATCTCGTTGTGGACGAGCACAGTAGCGCACTGCAGTACTTAGGCTTGCAGTGGAAGATCGCGTAGGCCATGGCCTCCTGCCTCATGGCGTGGATCTCGGAGGCCGCGTCGCGGGAGCGTCGATCATGTCGTGCGCGCCGCCGCCGAACGCAATGAAGTCGATCCGTCGATTACCCGGGGCCCCGGGCCACGCCCCGGAACTCGAATCGAGAGGCTCACTCAGCTGCCAGTGGCAAAGGGGCTTATGTAGGTCCGGGCGGGAGGGGTCATCTTCAAATTGCGGCGCGGCGGCGCCTCACGTCGCGAAGCGCGCGAGGCGCTTCGCGCGGAGCTCCGCCGCCGGGAGCCGCGGAGCGACATGAGCGGGCGCGGCGTCGAGGAGGTGGCGGCACTGCGCGTAGGAGCAGGGCAGGTAGTCCTCGACGTCGAGGCGGACGACGTCGCCGCCGGGGAGGAACTGGGGCGGCACCTCGCCGTCGCGGATGGCCCGCAGGAACGGCAGGTGGTCGCCGTAGCTCTGGAGCGGGCCCGCGGGCTCGGCGAGGTCCGCGAGGCCGACGACGTTGCCGCGCGCAACCGGCGGCGCGGCGGGCAGCCCCTCGGCTCGCACGGTGAAGCCGTCGGACCAGAGGCAGACCGTGAAGGACCGCGGCGCGCCGGCGCGCGCGACGGCCTCGGCGACGCGCTCCTCCGTCTCGAGGCGCAGCTGCCGGGGCGCCGCGGGCAGCGCGTCCGTCGCGGCCGTCGTTCCGATCAGAGCGTCGAGGACCGCGGCGAGCACGCGCTGGTCCGGCCGCGCCTCCGCCTGCCGCGCGCTCGAGCAGCCCGTCACGGCCTGCGGTGGGGAACGGCGCCTTACGGTGGCGCGGTGGCGCGAGCGGGCAGCCTCGTCCGCCTCGAGGCGGGCAGCCCGGATCGGCGTGCAACGCACCGAGCTGTCCATTGGCGCCGGCTCGAGGCAGCGCCGCGTCGCCGTAGGCGGCGAGGTCATGCTCGTCGACCGCTTCATTTTGCCTGCGTCTAGTGTCGTACCCCTTGGGGATGTTCAAGAACTGGATGCGCGCGCGTCCGTATGAGGCATGACATGGTTCAAGGGCAACTTGGCTGGGCACCGGCGTTGACTATTCAATAGTCTGTGATTTGATCCAGGGCTCGAGCCTCGACATCGGCGCGGGCGCGCGCGGCCACCCTCGACGCGACCTGCTCGTGCGAACTGCTGACAATGCCACCGAAACGCAAGACCGCGGGCGCGGCGAAAACCGCCGGCGCGAAGCGCGCGCCGAAGAAGGCGAAGAAAGATGCGTCGCCGTCGGACGCCTCCCTGGCGCAGAAGGCCGTCGTGCGCGCGGACCGGCTGACGCTGGAGCAGGCGCTCGTGGGGCTCGTCGAGGACGGCGTCGTGCGCTACGAGGAGCTCGAGGCGCGGGGCCTCGGCCAGGCGCCGGCGCCGGCGCCCAAGGTCACGGCGACGGCCGCGCTGACGTCGACGGGCGGCGCGGGCCGGCGTCCCGCGGCCGCGACGATGTTCGAGAGATTGAAACGATGGAAACTGGTCACCGTCGTGCTTGGTAGGCATGGGCGCGTGGGAGCGGCTCGACGTCGAGCTGCTCATGCAGGTCGTCGACTGCTGCGGCGCGGGCACGAAGTTCGCGCTGAGCGAGGTCTGCAAGGGCCTGTGCTCCATGCGGCGCGAGCCGCGCGCGTGGCGGAGCCTCGACACGGGCACGCTCGCGGGCCTCACGGCCGCGGGGCTCCAGCGCCTGCCGCGGTCCGTGCCGACGACGAACCTCGAGCGGCTCACGTGCCGGTCGCAGGGCTACAAGGACCCCTTCGTGGCCAAGGACTGGGTCAACTTCCTCAAGCAGCTCGACTGCAAGGCGAGCCTCCGCCACCTCGAGCTCCTCAGCAGCAAGTTCGGGTCCGGCGCGCAGGCGCTCAAGGCCGCGGAGCCCTTCGCGGCGAACCTCGAGTCGCTGAAGCTCATGGGCGTCAAGCAGGGCAGCATGGACGGCGTCATGAAGTTCGTCCGCGCCGCGACGCGGCTCACGGCCCTGGACATCGAGTCGTCGGAGACGCCGTGGCGCTACTTCCTCGAGCGGCTCGCGCAGCTGCCCGCGCTCCAGCGCGGGCCGGGCGCGAAGAGCCTGCTGAAGCGCATCGTGAGCATCGGCGGCTGGCAGAGCACGGCGACCCACGTCGCGTTCGTGCTCGGCCTCGCGAACCTCTTTCCCGAGCTCCGCGAGCTCCACCTCTCGGGGCTCTGCGCGAACGACGCGTCCGCGGCGCCCGCGCCCCTCTCGAAGATCCGCGTCCTGCGCCTGCGGAACGTCATCTTCACCTCCGGCATGTACATCGCCCAGCTCTACGGCCGCGGCGTGCCGGACAGCGAAGAGGCGCTCGCCTCGTACTTCGCGGACGTCGAACGGAGCATGCCCTGCCTCGAGCTCTGGGAGACGCACCGCAAGCGCGAGTACATCTCGGGCAAGGAGTTCAAGGCCGGCAAGCGCTACGAGCGCACGCCCGTCCTGCGCAACATCGGGGGCCTGTGCTTTTCGCGCCTCAACGAGCTGATCCTCGAGGACGTGGGCGTCGCCGAGGACTCGTTCGCCGGCGTCGAGGCCCCCAAGCTCAAGGTGCTCAACCTCTGGCTCTCGCCCCTCACCCACAAAGAGCAGCGCTCCGGGTGGGCCGATGGCTCCCGCATGGACGTGTCGGACAACGCGGGGCTCGCCGCCCAGCGCGCCGCCGTCGCGAAGCCCCTCGAGGACTCCGCCGAAGGCGCGGTCAAGGTGACATGGCTGAAGCCCGAGAAGAAGCGCCCCGCGACGACGTGAGCACCCACTCACTCGCAAGTAAGAAGCATCGTCCGCTGTTATCGGAAGAGCAAAACTCAGGAAGCCGGGGCCTCGACCGCTGTTATCGGAAGAGCGTGCTCGCGCAGAGCGCCTCATCGTCGCCGCCGCCGGGGAGCGCCGCGGGTAGTACAAAAGCGCTGGCGGCGGTGAGGAGCGCGAGGCAGACGAGCGTCAGCTGGAGGCCGACGGCGGCCAACGTCCGCGTCGCCAGCGTCGGCGCGGTCGCGAAGGCGATCGCGTTCGGCGGCGTCGCGATGGGCGTGCAGAACGCGAAGGAGCAGGCCATCGTCACGGCGCAGAGCGCCGGCAGCGGGTCGTCGACGCAGCCGACGAGCGGGAGGATCACGTTCGCCGTCGCGACGTTCGACACGCCGTTGGACAGGAGGCACGCGAGGAGCGCGGCGACGACGACGACGTGCTCCCGCGACGCGCCGGCGATGACCGAATCGCCGATCGAGGCCGCGAGGCCGGACGCCTTGGCGCCGGAGCTCAGGGCGACGCCGCCGCCGAGCAGAAACATCGATTCCCAGGGCAGATCGCGGACCGCGGCCCAGGGCAGCGCGTCGGACAAGAAGAGCGCGAGCGCCGCGGCCATCGCGACGGTGCCGTCCGTCGCGAAGCCCGGCTCCGGGAGGAGCTCGGACCAGCCGGGCACGCCGAAGCGCCGCAGCCGGAAGAGCCAACACACAAGCATGGCCCCGCAGACGCCGAGCACGCGCCGCTGCGCCGCCGAGAGCGGCGGCGGCGGCCCCTCGGCGGCGGAGGCGCGCCCGGCGACGCGCGCCGGTACTTTGAAGCGGCGGACGAGGATCGCCCAGAGGCACGCGTTGCCGACGAGCCCCACGGGCGCGGCGAACGCGAACCACGACGCGAAGGCCACGCGGTCGCCTATCAAGCATGACGGTGACGATTTCTCATTGTTTTCCCACCCCAAATCTCTCGAAAATCGTCACGGCCACAGGACGCTGGCGGTCGCCGACGAGGCCGGCTAGGACGACGTTCGGGCCCGTGCCCACCAAGGTCGTCAAGCCGCCGAGCGAGCTCGACAGCGCCACGGCGACGGCGACGGCGTCCCGGAGCGACTCGTCGCCGCCGGCCGCCGCCGTCGCGGCGAGCGGCGCCATCATCGCCGCCGTCGCCGTGTTGGACGTCCACATGGACAACGACGCCGTGGCGACGATGACGCCGAGCAGCAAGCGCCGCGGCGCGTCGCCCCGCCGGTCGAAGCGCCGCAGGAGGCCGCTCGCGACGCGCGCGTGGAGGTCGTGGCGCTCGAGGGCCGCGGCGACCAAGAACGATCCCAGGAAGAGCATGAGCGGGTCCGACAGGTACGCGCTTGAAATGAGGCGCGCGTCCGCGGCGCCGCTCGCCGGCAGGAGGACGACGGGCAGCAGCGACGTCACGCCGAGCGGCACGCAGCGGGTCAGCCACCAGACGATCATGAGCGCGCCGCACGCGCCGCACGCGGCCGCGGGCGCGGGCGCGGCCCGGCGCTGCGCCGCCGACGCGGCGAGCACCGCGGCGTAGGCGACGACGCCGAGCCAGAAGCCCAGGCGCGACGCGTTCGTGCGCGCGCCGGTGTGTGTTGGACGCGATGTGTTCGTGCGCGCGCCGGTGTGCGTTGGACGCGACGCGTTCGTGCGTGCGTCGGCGCGCGCCGGCGCCGCCTCCGCCTTGTCCGCCTCCAGCAGCTCGTCGTCCTGGGCGCACGGCTCGAAGCCGGCCTCCACTTGCAGCTCGATGCCGCCGCCTTCCAAGAGCGGATTGCTGCGCGGACGCTGCATGCTCCGCGACGCTCGCGAGCTCCGCGTTGCGTCGCTACTCGGCAGAGCTCTGAGATGCTCCGCGACGCTCACGAGCTCCGCGTTGCCACGCTACCTGCAGCTGTGAGAGCACACATCGATTCCAACCAGCCCAGGGCTGCAAGTTCTGTTCAACTTGCACCACACTGTTTGCCCGACCAGCTCGTAAACAGACAAGGTCGCAGTATCAATTACCGGAATGTAGAAAACTCACGGAGCCGGGGCCTCGCCCGCCTCCTCCTCCTCGTCGACGCGCGCGGGCCCCTTGCCGTCCGCGCCGTCGACCGCGGCCGCGGCCGCCGGCTTCGCGTCGCGGCGCTTCTGGACGCCCGCGGCGGCGACGACGAGCCAGGCCGCGAGGGCCACGCCGAGCATGGCGCTCTGCGCCGTGAACCAGGGCCGGTCGTCGGCGACGTGCCCCAGATCCGCGGCCTTGGAGATGCCGGACCGCGTCGCCGCGGCCGCGAGGACGACGGCAGCGTAGCCCAAGCCCGTGTGGACGTAGTTGAAGTAGACGCGCTTCGGCGCGTCCTTGCCCGGCCGCGCGAAGCCCATGAGGACCATGGCGCCGACGGCGGCCATGACGCCGACGCCGATCTTCGGATGGCGGCCCCGGAGGTGCTCGCCGTTGTCCGCGCGGTCGATGGCCGACGCCGCGACGGCGACGCCCGCGACGGCCAAGATCAGCGCGGCGACGTTGCAGGCGATGTGGATCTTGAGCCAGAGCGGGCCCGGCGCGAGCACGAACCGCGACTTGGCCGCGACGAGCGCGGACGGCATGAGCGCCGCGAAGGCCACCAGCAGCAGACCGCCGTGGGCCCGGATCGCCCGCGACGACACGCCCTCGATCTCCTTGATCGAGAACGCGCAGGTCTCGAGGTCCAGAGTGAGCGCGCCGACGTCGTCGCCGTGGAAGCCGAGCGACCTGGAGCCGTAGGACCAGATGAACTGGTCCGCGCCGACGGTCTGCTCGCCCGCTTCCTCGATCAGTTTCGTGAACTCGACGACGTAGGCATCGTCCTCCACCATGGTGGCCGTGTCGGTCAACGTCTGCGCGGCCATGGCGTCGATGCCGCTCTTTTTGTACGACGTGATGTCGTACTTCGCCGGGCCGCCGTCCGGGCCCTCGGCGATGACGCACTCCGTGCCCGTCATGGACCCGTCGCCCCACCCCAAAGACACCCAGGCGCCGCCGTCGCTCCCGGCGAGGACGAGCGCGGCCCGGAGAGCGCCGTCCGCGAGCGACCAGTGCAAGCGGAGCTTGCCGTCCAACGCGAGCGAGTACTCGTAGCCCGGCCGGTCGCTCGAGCAGTCGAAGGGCGTCGTCGGCGCGCGCGTCGGCTCGCGCGACGGCTCCGGCGTCGGCGCGGGAAACGTCGGCTCCGGCGTCGGCGCGGGAAACGTCGGCGCGGGCGTCGGCGCGGGAAACGTCGGCTCCGGCGTCGGCGCGGGAAACGTCGGCGCGGGCGTCGGCGCGCTCGGCGTCGGCGCGCCCGGCGCGACCGACGGCGGGGGCGTCGCGGGGCGCGTCGGCTCCGCCGTCGGCTTCGCCGTCGGCGCGGCCGACGGTTTCGCCGTCGCGACCGCGCGCGGGACGACGTCGCAGGGCTCCGTGACGTAGACCGTGCGATAGCCCGTGGCGTGGCAGCCCTCGAGGGTCGTCGTCCCCGCCGCGGGCACGACGAACGTCGCCGGCGCGTTCCGCGACCGCGACGCGACGTTCTCGAAGCCTCCGCAGACGCCTCCGACGAACGCCGCGCCCGACCGCGCGTCGATGAGGTACTCCACGTCGTGGCTCTCGAACTCGAGGGCCGCGTCGTTCTGATAGAGGGTCGCCGTGAGCGTCGCGCCGGCGTCGACGGCGCTCCCGCAGGCGACGACGGCGCCGGTCGCGTCCGTGAGGCGGAGGTAGGTGTCGTCGCTCCGCACGGCCGCCCTGCGCATGATGACGTCGCCCACGGCGAAGGACCGGCACCGGAGCTCCGTGGCGTAGGAATTTGCGGAGCTTAACGCGCCGAACGCGACGACGAGGCGACACAACGTCATAGCTTCGTTAGAGGGGTCATCACCCACATTGGTCTTGCCACGACGGCACGGAACATCGCCGAGGAGCCATCCCACGCGTACAACACACCCGTGTTACGGCGCCGCCTCCCTCTCGTTGATGGGCGTGTTGACCTCCTTCAGCGCGATCTCGCTGTCGCTGGGCCGGTGGGGCGCGAGGGGCTTCGACGGCGCTTTGTGTCGCTTCGCGGCGCCGGCGACGGCGACGGCGAGCCACGCGCAGAAGCACGCGACGAGCAGCGACGCCTGCGCCGTGTACCAGGCCCGTTTGTCGGCGATGTGCTCCAGGTCGGCGGCCTTGGAGATGCCGCTCCGCGTCGCCGCGGCCGCGAGGACGACGGCGCCGTAGCCCAGGCCCGTGTGGACGTAGTTGAAGTAGACGCGCCTCGGCGCGTCCTTGCCCGGCCGCGCGAAGCCCATGAGGACCATGGCGCCGACGACGACCATGACGCCGACGCCGATCTTGGGGTGGCGGCCCCGCAGGTGGTCCGCGCCGTCCGTGCCGTCGATGGCCGCCGCCGCGACCGCGATTCCCGCGAGCGCCAAGATCAGCGCGGCGACGTTGCACGCGATGTGGATCCGGATCCAGAGCGGACCCGGCGCCAGGACGAAGCGCGACTTGGCCGCGACGAGCGCGCTCGGCATGAGCGCGGCGAAGGCGGCCAGGAGCAGGCCGCCGTGGGCCCTGATCTTCCGCGACGAGACCGTCTCGATCGTCTTCACGGAAAACGCGCACGTCTCGAGGTCCAGCGTCAGCGCGCCGACGTCGCCGCCGTGGAAGCCCAGGGACCCGGAGCCGTAGGACCAGACGAACCTGTCCGCGCCGACGGTCTGCTCGCCGGGCTCGTCGATGAGCTTCGTGAACGCGACGACGTACGCGTCGGCCTCGACCATGGTGGCCGCGTCGGTCAGCGTCTGCGCGGCCATGGCGTCGATGCCGCTCTTTTTGTACGACGTGATGTCGTACTTCGCCGGGCCGCCGTCCGGGCCCTCGGCGATGACGCACTCCGTGCCCGTCATGGACCCGTCGCCCCACCCCAAAGAAACCCAGTCGCCGCCGCCGCTCCCGGCGAGGACGAGCGCGGCCTCGAGCGCGCCGCCGACGACGGACCAGTGGAAGCGGAGCCGCCCGTCGAGCGCGAGGGAGAACTCGTAGCCCCGGTCGCTCGAGCAGTCGAAGGCCGCCGCCGACGGCGCTCCCGTCGGCGCGAAGACGACCGTCGCCGGTCGGGCCGCGACGGCCGCGAAGGCCGGCGACGCCGCGCGCAGGGACGCGTCGAGAACGCCGCTGTCGACGGCGGCGTCGAGGGCCGCGGCCGTGGCGTCGAGGCCCGCGCGCGTGTCGATGGTGAAGTCGACGGCGACGCCGGAAGCGTCGTCGAGGCGGCGCCGCCGCCGCCGCCGCGCGGCGGCCGCGGCGACGCCGACGACGACGACGTCGTCCGCGGGCAGGCCGAGCGCGTCCGCGACGCTCGCCTCGAAGGCCGCGGCCTCGTCGTCGCCGAACTCGTCGACGTCGACGCCGTCGAGGGTCATCGACGCCGCGAGCGTCGCCGCGACTCCGGTCGGCGCGGGAGGGCTCGGCGCGGGCGACGTCGGC